GGTTGTGGGGTGTGGAATTTTAATATAAATCTCAGATAATCCAAGTTCTACTGTATGGCACAGAACCATGGACTGTAACAGTGGCTCCCATTAAAAGAGCGCATTTGAAATGTGGATTTACTGCAGGATGTTATGAATGTCACGGACCAAAAGGATGACCCATAAAGAAGTTATAAAGTGAATGTATGAAGACCAAGAAACCCTAAGGCATAGAAGCTTACTAAATAAATAAACCAGATAAAATGCAGAAAATCAGAATTATTTTGGTCATATCCCAAGAAATGAAAGAGACAGATGGTTGCAGCTGATAGGTCAAGGTAAAATTAATGGGGAAAGGTGTAGGAAGAAGAAGTTCTAGACTGAGAAACCTTAGAGAATGGATTGGGACAGTATAATATCATTGTTTCGTGGGGTCTTACCGAAAGACATTCTAGCAATGATGTCCAAGCTCCGCTAAGTGAGGAATGAGGAAGTGAAGGTGTAAATTGCCCTGCCCTGTGAAAAGAGATCGTTCTCACATCTCTGCAAAGTTTTAGCCAACTGCATCCTACAGTAACAAAATCGCAGGTGCAATTTTCATAGTCTGGAGAGCAGTTTTATTCCTGTAGCCCATTTCTCGATCGTCCAATAGCCAACGCTTCTTAAGCAGGTCACAGCAATCCAAACCATAAAACGCAGCAGCACAAAAACAAAGTGAAATACTTTGAAAACTACCGTATGAAAGCAAAGCAAAATATGCCTTGATGCATATTCGCCTTGGTGGGCTAGTTGAGAGAATAGCACGACTTTATCTCGCTCAATTGGCATAGGATTGCGCCGTGAGAGATGTGAAAACAACACAAACGCACCGGTGAATCACGCAACCGTTCGCATCGCAGCGGATTCAAATCTCTGCGTGAAACGCCCTTGCAAGGTGGGGCGGAGCCGTACAGTCCTTTTGCTTAAAATCTTGTCAAACGCAGAGCAAATCATGCCTCCTGGGACTCTTAACTGGGGTGACTGCAAGAGAGACAGAGACCCGCACCTAGCTAGGATTAGCTCCATTGAACTCAATGGGACTTATCTCTGAGTCAACATGTCTAGAAGTGCACAGAGATTTCTGCCTTTTTTTTTTTTTTGCAATTTCTGAGCTTTAAATAAACATCATTGATTGATTGATTGATTGACTGATTGATGTAGAGATGGGCATATTCTTTGTTTTAATACCCCCTTCTCTTTTGTTGCGCTTTAAAAATATATATATATATATATTTGCCCTCCATGGTTAGGCGAGACATTTTTCTCCTTGGACGGATAACTACTCTCTGCGCACTGAGGGTTAACTGGATCACCGAGTTTGCATTCCTAGAGTCGCCTGAGAAGGAAAGGTTTGCCTCTCAAAAGGGCCGGAGATGTCACTTCCGGGCCCGCCCTTTTGAGTTGGAAACCGCTTTGGCCACGTGCGGTTTTCGTGGTTGGGAAGAGGCGTCGAGGTCGCTGGGCTGCGGGCTGGACGAAATCCAAAGGTATATCGCAGGTGAAGCCGAAAGGGCGGAAAGTGACACAGAGGAAAGGCGGGTTGTGTTGGACGTGCTTAGAAATGAGGGTGGGGTGCATGTGCTTCGTAGTCTGGAAAGGCTGGCTTTTAAAAATGGAACTAATATTGCCTAGGGGTTAGAGTACGGGACTGGGATTTGGGAGACTTGGGTTCTAGTCCCCTCTCACCTATGACGTGCCCTGGGTGGCTTTGGGCAGTCATGGACTTTCAGCCTCACCTACCTTATATAAGCTTGCTGTTGTGAGGATAAAATGGAGAGGAATTTATCAGTTGTCTTGGGTTCCTTGCATTTATATCCCTTCTTTTTTCCTCTTGCAATGTAATGATGATGATGATGCTTCACAGAGTTATTGTTGTAAGATTCAAATGGAATAGAGGACAATCTTGTAAGCTCCTTTGGCTTCCTTGCAAGGGAAAGGTGGTCATGTAATTATAGTTAATAATAATATACTGAAGGTAGCAGGGTAGAGAAAACTCTCGGCCTGAGGCAGCCTTGCAGAGCTAGAGAGAATGGGCTGCGTGTGTGTAAATATGCTGGGGTATCTTGACCCCACTGTATTTGAGAGCCAGTGTAGTCTAGCAGGACTGGGACTCTGGCAGCCTTTGTTCTGCTCCCCACTCAGCCATGCAGCCAGCTGGGTGACTTTAGGCCAGGCACAAACTTTGAGCTCAGTCTACCGAATTCCCCCTCCAGTACATTTAACTGTGGTTCAGAAGAGAGAATTTCATGCAAGGAGATTTGTCATAAAGGTGAAACAAACAGCAGCTGAAATTCCCTCTCTGGTAGATAGGAGCATCCCATCCACCCCAGGTGCAGTGCTGGGCAGGAGGGAGGGGTAAATTGAGACACTGCTAACTAAGCAAGGGGACAGGGAAGGAACAGAGGAGCAGTTGAGGGGTGCTGTGGTAAAAGGAGCCTCAGTATTCTGGAACAAAATGCTTTGGGTCCCTAGATTCTAGGGGCAAAACAAACAGGGAATAGCAGGCCATTTTTGTGAGCTTTTCTAAGACACCATGTAAGTGTCAGAACACTGGGTTGGGTTTTCAACATTTTTAGAGCTCCTTCCCACCGAACAGTTCGGCATATGATGATAAAAACAAAACATTATCGCTCAAAGTCAGTAAGTAAAACATAGAAGAGAAAAAGAAATGAAGGAATTCGTTTTGGTACCAGGCCAAACCCTTTTTTATTTTCCCAGTATTTTAAATCTTAGCATTATTTTTAATGCGGATTTTATATATTATTGTGATGCTGTGTCTTATGTGTCTCGCCGCCCTGAGATGAGGTAAAAGGTGGGATACAAACATTTTAAAATAGATAAATAAATTGCCAACCTAGCCATTCGAAAGCGTGTAATGTGAGTAGATAAATAGGTACCACTGTGACGGGGAGGAAACAGCACCCCGGGACATCATGCTCGCCACTGGAACATCCTCAGACAGGGCTGGCTCCTGGCCTTTGAAAGGGAAATGAGCACCACCCCCTATAGCCCTTTTGGCTAGCAGAATAAATTCCACAGGGTCTCCTTTCCTTCCTAAAGCCTGCTGATTTTCTTTCTGTCAGGGTAGAGTCTGTTGCGTTAAACACGGGAGTGAAGAGATCATTTCTTCATGGTCTTCTGCTGGACAAAAGAAGATGAAACAGCAGAGCCCATTGGGCTTTGAAGCAGGGAAGGCCAAAGGAAAAACGGCTGGGAGTGACGATGGATCCTTGGAAAAGACTGTGTAAGTCCTTCGCCGAGGACACTGGGAACTCAGAGGACCAAGCTTTCAGGCAGCTTTGCTCTATGGATGCTGATGGGCCCCGAAAACTTTGCAGCCATCTATGGCATGTCTGCTGCCGGTGGCTGAAGCCGGAGCAGTGCACGAAATCTCAGATGCTGGACCTGGTGATCCTGGAGCGGTTCCTGGCTGCCCTTCCACTGGAGATTGCAAGCTGGATCAAAGAGTGTGGAGCAGAGACTAGTTCCCAGGCAGTGGCCCTGGCAGAAGGTTTCCTGCTGAGTCAAGGGGAAGCCAAAGAGGAGGAGAAGGTGTGGCTTTTTCATCTGGGGGGTTCAAAGGGCTGAAAAAGATGGTGGGGATTTCCTACACTGGGGTACCTAGCATGGTGCCTGCAGGTACATCTTGTGCCATCCATATAGGGGTCACCAACATGGTGGCCATGGGCCTTTGGAAACGGTGACTATTATTTCCATTTTTCTTGTGTGTATCGATTTCTATGAAATGCATACAAATTTCTAGCAATTACACACCAACAAAAATGAATAAGTTTCTATCTGTATATATCTGAAGGTGACATCTATATTTCATCTATTCATATATAAAAAGTGTTGTGAGGTTCTCAATCCATTCCATTAAAGAAGGCAGGGATTTATCCTTTTGTCCTGGTATGTTGCAGTACCAGTCTTTTAGCTTCCAGAAGGACAGAAAGAATCCACCTTCCCCTCCATTCATTAATTTCCATGAAATTATTCAATTTAAAAGGATATGTTCATCAGTGAACGTTAAAGACTGTTCCAGTACAAAATTTATCCCTATAATAGCCTCCATATAAAGAAGCAATGAGCAGGCTTTGGCAAAGCGTATGTTCAAAAGAAAGCATTAGCTGCGTCGTACCACCAGCAATTAGCTGAATTAGACAGTCCCTTCTGAAAGATGTTGTAGAGTCCATTGGGCCTGAAACAAAAGCTTTTGCTGGATATCCATCAGCATTAATGGTGGACGCCAAAACAGCAATGCAATGACAAGGCATTTTGTGGTCGTGCCCACAGCAGTTTTTTAAATTCCAAAATGTACCCACGGCTCCAGAATAGATGGGGGAGCCCTGACTACACTATTCCAAGCATTTCCCTTATAAATGCTATTTCATTGTTTTCGTGAAAGTTTCTAAAGAGGAGATTTGACCAGCTCTTTGGGCAGGTCTTTTGTCTAGTAAACTTTATCCTTTCTCCATGAACAGACAGGACAGTTAAAAGACCCAACTCAGTCTTGTTCCATTAATTGTGGTGATGCTGTGAGGAGGGGGCAGGATCCGTCCTCCCTTGGCCACCAGCATCCCTTCTTTCACCCTCTTCCTCTGTGTGTGGACCTTACAGGGACTGTCTGTCCTGGATGCAGCTGCGACGCTTGCTGGGGCAAAGGAAGGGGCTGCGTCAGACGAGCGGCAGAGGCCGGTGATTCTCCAGGTCACAGAGGACGGCAGCCGAGGCTTTGCCCCCTTGCGTAAGGATGGCACCATTCCTGAGTTACCAGATATTTTGACAGTCTCACTGGACAAGTTAAAGCTGCTGCTGCTCCTTTTCATGGAGGTGGTTGAACTGTCGTGGCTGGTGTTTAGGAGCCTTGCGGGTCAAGGGAGGGAGGCTCTTGTAGCTGGTCTCTCCTTCCCACCATATTAGTTCAGATCATTGAAGGTGCTGGATGGGCACCGGGCGTGCAGCAGGGCTGGCTTTCTTCAAACCATCAGCTGCACTGAAGAAATATTATTGCCTTGTATTTATAATGGAGTGAGTTTATTGGACACACATGTACGTGGTGCAATCTGCTGAAAGGGCAGCTCTCAGACTGCGCAGAGGGAGAAAGATGGTCTCTTCGTTTACGATAGTCCTGTGGGTTGGGTTGGCCTCTATCAGTGGCTGGCCCATAGGCCATCTGTGAATGACAGTCTAGTTTACCTGCCACAATGGAGGGCTGCGCACCTGACCTTGTATGGGATGGAAGAAGGTTTTCCTGCTAGCACTTGAATCTTGCAACCAAAGAAGTTGGCAAGCAGCCTTGGGGAATTGCAAGGTGTGCTGGGGTGGAAGGCTCATGACAGTGTGGTGTAGTGGTTAGGAATGCTGGACTGAGATTCAAGAGTTCTGGGTTCAAGTTCCTGCTCGGCCATGGAGTCAACTGGGTGATTTTGGGCCAGACACAGATTGTCAGCCCAGACCTACCTCACAGGGTGATTGTTGTGAGGACAAGATGAAGAGGCAGAGAATTGGCTAAGCCTTGAGCTACTTAAAAGGGAAAAAAGGCAGGATAGAAGTATAATAAAGGATCTATAAGTTGCCTTTAAGGAAAAACTTGCCCATGGTAGCTTGCAAAATTTCAAAACCACAAAACAATAATGGATAACACACAATAACAAGGGCAAAATGAACCATTAAAACCAGATTGCACCACATACGTGAGTGTGTCCAATAAACTCACTCCATTAGAAGTACAAGGCAGCAACATTTCTTTGATGCAGCTGATGGTCTGAAGAAAGCCAGCCCTGCTGCACTCCCGGTGCCCCCTGTGTCCCCCAGCTTGTCATCCACCAGGGTGACCGTGCTGCTTTCTGCTGTCAGACTGGGTGTGGAGTGAATCTAAATAATTAGCTTTGTCTCCAGTTGGAATCCTATTGTGATGTCCCGGCAGGCAGCACCTAGTGGAAGCGCTCGGTGGCTGTGATCCCACATTGCCGGACCTGAATTAAGTACCTTAAATGCCTCTCTGTCGCCCCCTTCATGGCAGTGCAGACCTCACCATCCTTTGAAGAGGCATTAACCTTCTGCAAGGTTCATATCTGAGTCTGGCACTCTTTAGTATGGCAGGATAGGCAAAGATCCAGGATACCCATCATAGACTTCAAGCCTCTAAGCAGTTTGTCCATGTCTTTAGGCTGGACCAGCTTAAAAGTATAGCATAACAAGGCTGGACTCGAGCTCCATTTGTATTAGATTCTGTGAAAAGCATGGCTTCTTGAATTGGCATATGAACGAATTACTTTATTCTGGTCATAGATCAGTAATATACAACACAAGAATATTAAAACAATTCGGTATAAAATGTATTGAATCAACACCAGTAAAAGGAAGTCATTAAAATACCTAAATACTTTTAAAAGTGCAACAAAATCAGTACAGTAAAATTTAAAGTTTAAAATAAAACACATTATTACAACTCACTGATACCCTCGTCTCAATTTATGTGGGACCATGGCAGCTGCCAGTGTTTACATGCATCTTCTGTTTCGGTGATGCACCAGCACAAAGAAGAGCATTAAATTGGAATAGATCAAACAATTTTTGCTGGTGCTGGTGCACACCAGAGGAGTCAACACCAAGAAGGCCCTTCACCTGGAAAAAAAAAATGCCACTGGACAATGCCAAGCAGACAGTGGCGGAGGCAGATTTCTTCACTGCTGTCACTTACTGTGTGGTTGGCTATCTTGCAGTCCTGCCTTTTTTGGATTACAGTTCACAAAAATCCAGAAGTGAGGGATTGTTGGCTTCTGGGCCACAGATTGCTCATCCTTGGCTTAGTGGAAGAAATTCTTGCTTTCTCTGCCGCTGCAGTCACAAAAAGCAGGCCTGGGAAATGCCTATTTCCAGGGCCTTGGGCTTCTGAGAAGACCAGGAAGCAGCTTTCTCCAACCTGGTCCCTCCCAGGTATTTCAACTGCCTTGACTTGGCTTTTCTGACTGGGGCAGGTTGGAGTTGTAGTCCAAAATGTCTGGAAGGAAGCAGGATGGGGAAGGCGGATGGGCCGCAGATCTGATTCAGCACCTCCTTTCCAGCTGGCTGCCACTACGCCATTTTACTGTATTTCTGTATCTGTAAATTAATCAGCCTTGTATATTACCATGCCACACAGTTCTTTCCTTAGAAATGAACTGAGATGAAAACTTGGGTTCATTAACACTAGTAGTTTCTCCAGGCAAGTAGGTAGAGAAAAATTTCCGGAATTGGGTGAGATTAGGGTCTTGCTCTTTCAACTGGGTTGTATGGGCTGGCTACCTGGTCGACTGCCTCGTGGGCTATGAAGGTGTGCTGGGAATTTTGCAAGGCTGTTCTCAAGCCCTTCCTGAAGATTTTAGCCATTTAAAGTGCTTCGAGTTTTGCATATTGAAACTTTATGGCATATTATTAACTGAGAGCCAGTGTGGTGTAGTGGTGAAGAGCGCGGGACTGGGACTCAGACGATCTGGGTTCTAGTCCCCGCTCAGCCATGGAGCCGACTGGGTGACTTTGGGCCAGTCACAGGCTCTCAGCCCAACCTACCTCACAGGGTTGTTGTTATGGGGATAAGATGGAGGAGGAGACTGATGTAAGCTGCCTTGAGCCCTTTGTAGGAAAAAGGCAGGATATAAATTGGAAATAAATAAATTGTATCTTTTGGGATTTGCTCTGCACTGCCCAGGGAGCTTTGGCTGTTGCGTCGGTATAGAAATGAAGATGATGATGATGATATTATATACAGCCGTCTTCTTACAGAGGGGAAGAAGATAAATCAGAGATCTGAAATTGGAAAATCTGTGTATAGAAGCAAGCTCCCCATCTTATTTCTCTCCTCACAGGCAATAGGACGACGTCTTTCTGCCAAGGAGTGGAAGCAGGCACCATGCATCCCGCTCAGGTAGGAGTTTTCAACCTGGTGTCCCCATCTTTGCTACAGGGCCTTTGCTTCTGGGGCTGCTAATTTACAGGGACAGTACATTCCATGCTTTCCTGGGAACCTGTGCATCCAGCGAGCCCAAATATCACGCCACAAAATCTGCCTCAATTTGTCTGCTTGGAGCGGTATTCCTGCTGCGTTGTCCCAGCCATGGGTTTTTGGGATTCCCAGAGAGTGATGTGCCAATTCCAGGTCTACTAAAAAGGAGATTATTTATTACTGCATTAATATCCAAATACTAGCTAGACTTCCATTACATTTAGCAGCGAGCCTCTTACACCGCACAGCGGGGACCCCTGCAAGGTTGAATTCTTACCAGGTGTGTTCAGATGGCATCAGCAGAATCCTCCTCAAAAGTAGTCTGAATCGGAGTGCAAAAGTGGCTAGCTTATATAGAACACAGATTTACTGTATTTAACACATGCATACAGCATTCTACACAATTGAAAGATATGCTTACTTTTGATTACACAGGTGCTAAGAAGGGATGAAGTACAGGGAGCTAGTAAGGAGTATTGCTGCCTGAATGGCCAAGGTTCCTTCTCCATCTGACATCAAGGCATGGGCTCGTGACTGCCTCTTGCCCGCAGATGCTGTGGCTGATCAGAAATGGTCATGGTTGCGAATGTGCGCCGTGCAAGTTCCTTGTGCCATCTTAATATCAGCAAAGGAGACTCCTTAGAGTAGTTCCACGAGAGCAGACTGTCGGTGTCAGGGGAGTTCTTGACTCAAGCTCTGTTGTGCTATTGTAAGCAGCAAGACTCCAGTGCCACGCGAAGCAAGCATTTTAAGAGCTAGAGCCTGGCTTTTGAGGACTCAGGCCTAGCACAGCGGTCAGGGATTCTCTGTTGACTAGGAATGCTTTCATCTGCCAGGCTCTCGTGTCCTTCAGAGAGGTGGCTGTCCATTTCACAGAGAGCGAGTGGTCTCTGTTGGAGCCAAGCCAGAGAGATCTATATGGGGAAGTCATGTTGGAAAATTACAAGAATGTGGCCTTTCTGGGTAAGTAGGTCCATTACATTTGCTATGGCAAATCTAGACATCATCCTAAAAAACGGAGACATCACCCTGCCGACAAAAGTGCGTATAGTCAAGGCTTTGGTTTTCCCAGTTGCAGTGTATGGCTATGAAAGCTGGACCATGAGCACCGAAGAATTGAGGCCTTTGAATTGTGGTGCTGGAGGAGACTCCCGAGCGTCCCTTAGACTGCAAATAGATCAAACTAGTTAATCTTAAAGGAAATCAACCCTGGTTGCTCTTTAGAAAGCCAGATACTGAAGATGAAACTCAAATACTTTGGCCACCTAATGAGAAGGAACAACTCATTGGAGAAGTCCCTGATGCTGGGAATGATTGATGGCAAAAGGAGAAGGGGACGGCAGAGAATGAGGTGGCTAGATGGAGTCACTGGGGCAGTGGGTGTGAGCTTGGATGGACTCCGAGGGATGGTGGAGGACAGAAGAGCCTGGAGGAATGTTGTCCATGGGGTCATGATGGGCCAGACGTAACTTTGCAACTAAAATGACAAGGTCCATTACTGCAGGGCTCTGGTCCTGCCAAGGCCTCCTCAAGACCACTTTATCCAGTCCCTGAGGATAAGCAGGAATAGACAAAACCACTTATATGAAAGATGACTTACAGTTTACTGAATACAGCAATGGAAGTTCAATGTAGATAATGAACAGTCAGGCAAAGATTAAGCTTACACATGACCCTCCATTTTGCAGATCTTCTTAATATGATGGGTGGCATTCCAGGGCACTGCTTGCTTAAATACTTGCATATACCTCAATCCAAGCCAAAAGTCAAAGCACAAACTAACAGGTCATAAATTTTATAGAGGTCTCTTTCCCACTGTTTCAGAACCAGTCAATAAGCCACAAGCTAACCCCCCTTCCTGGGAGACAAGGGGAGTGAAGCTGCCCCAGTAAAGCAAACAGTTTCATTTCTCACAGCAGAAGCAGCCTTTATCTAATGAATGTAATTGGGGAAGGCAACTTCCAAGACAGTGATCTTTGGTGCTGTTTCTGAGCCTACAGGTAAGACCCTGACGTAGCTCCAAAAGCTTTCCTGGCTTCTGGGTGGAAGTTCATTATGTTGGAGTATAATAAACCCACATTCCTTTGGTATAGCGCATCCAGTACAGCAGACATGCTCCATTAGCAGAAGAAGCTGCAGTGCATGTATGCAGTGCCAGCTTTTTAGATCTTCTGCTCTATATGCTATTTGTTCACAGAAAGGCCATGTGTTTGTCATTCATCATTGAAGGGGCTACTAGTCATTATTATCCCAGGACTGCCATTCACTCCAAAGAAGCCAGGCTAGAGGGTTAATTTCTTGGCACTTACCCAAAGCAGTGCAGAGTGAAGGCCACCCACAACCGAAGGAAAAACGTTGAGGCAAGAATGAAGAGTTAGGCGCCATCTGGGCCGAAGGGTTGTACCCGACTCTGGTCATTTGCCAGGACTGGAAACCCCTGGCAAAAAATAGCTTCCTCCTTCCATCTGCTTATTCCCCAGATGTGTCCCACAGGATTTGGGGGCCCTTCAGAGAATTTAAAGGGGGGGGCTGCCAGAGGGAGGAGAAAAATAGGAAAGCCAGGCAAACATCAAGATCTGAGAAATGTAGAGATTAAGCTGGGGGAATGATCTACTCAACAGTAACACAGAGTAGCAAAAGAGGGTTGGAGCCTCACAGAGTGAAGTTCAAAAGTGAAAAGTTGAGTGGAGGAGCAGACTTCATGGAGACCCTGGGACTCGCTTTACTTGTGGCAGAGCTGGTGCTGGCATTAGTTGCAAGTATATTTTGCAAAGTTGCAGTGGTGCAGCATTTTTCTAATTTGGAAATAATTCCATGGAATATTTAAATACACCACAATCTTGCATATATAGAATTTCAGTTTCTCCTCTAGGAATATAATGAATGAGAAAAATCACTCCAGCATTTCTGCAACTGCCACACCCTGCCCAGATTACAGAGGCTGGTCTCAAATCTAGTTACATCAGAGAAAGGATTGTTCCCCAGTCACTATCCCAGTTGAGAAGGCTTTGTACTCATGCCAAATTTCCCTTTTTATTTCACCAGGAGACATGTGGGAGCCCGAGAAGGAAGTGAGAGCAGGGAGAATGCCTACCAGAAGAGATGAGGGCCAAGAAGTTGCCCAGAAGGCAAAGAAAGAGTGTGGACCGAAAAGGCAGCAAGAAAGGAGAACAAAAGCAAAAGAGAAGCGAAGGAATAACTCTGTTGCTCCTAGTCAAGATGCGAATGTTTGTGAAATTCCAGTTCTGCAGAGAAGTAAACAGGGCTCCAAGTGTGGGAAAAGCTTCAGCACATGTCTTAAGAGACATCCGAGGACTCATGGAGTTGGGAAAACCTATAAATGCTCAGAGTGCACCCGGAGCTTTTGTTATCAGTCCAACCTTGTTAAACATAAAAGAACACACACAAGGCAGCGACCCTATAAGTGCTCGAAGTGTGGACTGTGCTTCCACCAGAGCGACTTACTGGTCTTGCACCAGATAATTCACACGGGGCAGAAACCGTGTCAGTGCACAGAGTGTGGAAGGGGCTTCAGCCAAAGCGCACGCTATAAGTCACATTGCAGAATTCACACACGGAAACTCTGTAAATGCTCCGAGTGTGGGAGGGACTTCCTCTGGAGGAGTATGGCTTACTGAACATCTGAGAATGTACACAGGAAAGAAAAAAATCCACTTGAAATGTACATGCTTCATGTTCTTTATTTATAGTTCATAATTAAGACATGTTTTGGAAAATCATGAGTTTTTCTTCATGGAACACAGAGAAAGTAAAGGCATTTGAACTGCAGGTGCTCTTGAATGAACCTGATTAGCTGCTCCCTTTCCCATCTGGGTTCAGGCCCACTCTAGGGACATAATCGGCCTTGGTTGTCCTGGTGGAGGACCACCTTCCCAGTCTCCCAGCAGCTTTGACCATGGTATCTTGACCACAGTATCTTCCTGGGCCATCTCCACAAGGTGGGTGCATCAGGCCCTTGGCAGCTGAACTGTAGGCTGACACGGGGCATGGTTTTGTCTCCATACTTAACATGAAGCCACTGAGATTGGTTGCTAAGAAGTTTGGGACATGGTGGTTCTTGATACGCTGATGGAACTGAGCCCTTTCTGTGAGCACAGCTGAAGAAAGATGCAGACCAACTGGGAAAGGCTCAGAGGAGGGCTGCAAGGATGATCTGGTGCCTGGAAAGAAAGCCCTTTGGAGGTGGCGCAGTGGTTTAAACCACTGTGCGGCTGGGCTGGGAGATCGAAAGGTTGCTGGTTCAAATCTGCACAACGGGGTGAGTTCCTGTTGCTCCATCCCAGCTCCTGCCAACCTTGCAGTTCGAAAGCATGCAAATGCAAGTAGATAAAAAGGTACCCCTTCAGTGGGCAGGTAACAGTGTCCTGTGCACCTTGGTGTTTAGTCATGCCGGCCGCATGACCACGGAGACTGTCTGCAGACAAATGCTGGCTCCCTCGGCTAGGAAACGGAGATGAGCACCGCCCCCTAGAGTCAGGCATGACTGGACTTAATGTCAAGGGGAAACCTTTTCCTTTAGCCTTGAGAAGGCTGAGGGGAGGTATGAGAGCTCTCTTCAAGTACTTGGAAGGTTGTCTCAGAGAGGAGGGCCAAGATCTCTTCGTCATCCCTGAGTGCATGGCATGGAATGAAGGGCTCAGATTACAGGAAGCCCAATCTGACCTGAACATCGAAAGAACTTCTTGACTGTTAGAGCAATATGACATTGAAATTAATCGCCCAGGGAGCTCCTGGGCTCTCCCGCCATGGGGGCATTTGAGATGCAGCCAGCCTTGGGAGACTTGCATCGAGCAGAGTTGGACCCTGTGGGCCCCTTCCACCTCTGCCCTAGGATTCTGTGAATTGGGAGAAACTGCATGCTTTGAGCCATGGCCTGGATGCAGGGTTGGGCAGGCAGCAGTCCTGGGAGTGAATATTTCCCAGACCTAGGAACTGGGGCACCTGCCTGTGTTGGGAAGGACTGCTCCCCAGGCAAAACACAATAAAATGGAATTGCGTTCTCTTGTTTTATTGTGGTGGGGGTGGGGAGGAGTTTTGTTTCACTGCTGGCCCTTTATCAGCTGCACATACTAACAATTCCAAGAATGCGCGAGCTTCGCTTGGCGTTTCACTGGAGCTTCCGTGTGTGAGGACAGACTTCCAGGAGTTTAACATAGGATGGTGGAGGAGAGCCTGGAGGAATGTTGTCCATGGGGTCACGGACAGTCAGATGCAACTTTGCAACTAAACAACAAAGCAAGCTCATGTTATGCTTTCCAGTTATCCTTTCCTTTCCCCTCCTGTCCCTTGTAACATTCTCTCTTCAATAAGCTCGGTGTAATTTGGATAGGAGAGGTGGAGTGAAGATTTCTGATCAAAAGAACCATTTTTAATCTCATGTCTCTCACAATAGCATTTGAAAAATACCCAGATCTGCAGAGAATGTGAAGGAAACAGGCTGTGGACGTGCATGGGCAGCTCAGCCAGGTGCTCCCTAAGCCCCTAATCCAGCTGGTAACTCCTCTGAGAGCTAAACATAAATTGGGTGCTGACTTGTTTCTGGATTGCTCACTTGGGAGTTGCAGCATAAAAATACTCTTGCCAAAGCCCTGGGGTTCCCTCGAGTCTGCCAGCACTGTCGTTTTGATTGATTGATTGATTGATTGATTGATTGATTGACTTATATCCTGCCTTTTTCCGTTTTGTGCAGGCACGGTGCCATTTTGAGTATATACAACATTGGCTTTTGCAACAGGAACATCTGGAATAAAAGTAAGGATGTGGTAGTCGCGTATTGCATTGCCAGAGTGACTTTTGGTATTTCCCACTAAAATGAAAGTGAAACCTGCAACCTGGCAAACAAACTGGTGTGCCTCAGACAGATGAGCAAAAATCTGTAATCTTTTTTTTTTTTTTTTGGCATAACTTTTATCATGAGCATTCTGCTATTTTAGCTAATAACTATTTCACCAAGGTGAAAAAAAACAAGAATTTTGGGTTCTTATGACACTAACATACTTGCTGTCCAGTGACGTGCTTAGTGTCACCACGAGGAAGTCTTCACGGTGCCTGTCCTGGCATTCAATGCATAACTTCAATTTTCAGGTCTTCACATGGAACTGAAAAGAAAACTAGTGATTCCAGCCACAGTTGAAAGAATTTTAATTTTTTGACAAGTTGTAGCTCTGTGTTCTGACACTTGAGTCCCCTTCCAAAGATTAAGAAAGGCCATCTTAAGATCAGGGGGCTGAATGAAGTGGCTGGAGAGGCTGAAATGATCGAATGATCTGTGAGCATTGATTGTCTTTTCTGATGCTGGATTTGGGTCCAGAGTGACCTGGTTCCCCCATGTGGCTGGCTGATGATCTCACAAGGGCAGGCAAGAAGGTGAAAGTTGTGGCTGAAATTACAAGTGCTGTAGATAGCAGCAAGGGTAGTGAGGTCACACACCTGTACCTGCCTACTTGTGTAAGCCCTGATGGCAACTGAATTTACTTGCGGTGGTTCAGTGGGTTAAACTGCTGAGCTGCTGGGCTGGTTGATCGAAAGGTCGCCGGTTTGAATCTGCACAACGGGGTGAGTTCCCGTTGCTCTGTCCCAGCTCCTGCCAACCTTGCAGTTCGAAAGCATGCAAATGCAAGGAGGTAAAAGGTACCACTTCGGTGGGAAGGTAGGGAAGGTAACAGCATTCCATGCACTGCGGTGTTCAGTCATGCCGGCCACATGACCACAGAGACTGCGGACAAGCGCTGGCTCCCTCGGCTAGGAAGCGGAGATGAGCACCACCCCCTAGAGTCAGACATGACTGGACTTTAATGTCATGGGGAAACCTTTACCTTTTTAGACCTACCTAGGCTTGCGCTGAGGCTGCCCGCCCTCTCACTCCATACCACCTACTCCCAACAAGCAGGTGGGGGTACCTGGCTCTAGGAATACAGCAAACAGAAGGTGGCAAGATTTAGTAATACAATCCATTTATATCATGTCCTTTTCCCCTCGTGCAGGGAACTCCACGTGGCTTTACATAGCTCCATTTCATCTTCACAACAGCAGTCCTGTGAGGTAGGCTGGGCTGAGAGCTTGTGACTCTCACCCAAAATCACCCAGTGAACGTCATGGCCAACCAGGGACTAGAACCCAGATCTCCTGGAGGCCCAGTATAACCATCTAACCCCCACTGGCTTTCTAGTGGGATCTGGAGGTTTGTCACAGGCGATGCTCCCCCCAGAGCTTCTGCATTATTTCTCTCTCAAAGGTGAGGAAGAAAAATGTTGGCTGTAGTAAAAGAAGGCTCCTTTTGAGGTTGGATGACAAGTTTTCAAGTTGTCTTGCTCCACCTAAACTCCATCGAATCAAGTCAGGGCCCACCCAAAGCCCTGTCCAGCTGTATGTTACTTCTGTGTCAGTGGACTGGACTTTAAAAACCATGGTTTTGGAACAGCCATGGCAAAAACATGGGCCTGGTCTCCTGAATTGCACGGAGTCTGAATTTTTATTTGATCTTCCCCCAGCCATGCATCAAATCATGAAGCATCTGAGAAGCATGAAGAAAGAGGAAGAACCTCCAAATATAATGAGAAAGTCTTTCTGGCTGAGTCCGGGGGCTCAGATAATCCAGGACCTTCCATGGTGCCCCGCCAGTGCTTCCAGGATGCATAGCTTCTCTCCCCCAGCAAACTGGCATTCAGCGGTGGTTGTTAGTTGCGAAGTTGGGTCTAACCCATCGCAATCCCATGGACAACACTCCTCCAGGCCTTCCTGTCCTCCACCATCCCCCGGAGTCCCCCTAAGCTCACGCCGGCTGCTTCAGTGACTCCATCCAGACACCTCCTCCTCTGCCCTCCCCTTCTTCTTTTGCCATCTATTGTTCCCAGCATATTGTTCCCAGCATTGTTCCCTCTCTTCTCCAGGGAGTCCTTCCTTCTCATTAGGTGGCCAAAGTATTTGGGTTTCATCTTCAGGATCTGGCCTTCTAAAGAGCAGTCAGGGTTGATCTCCTCTAGGACTGACCGGTTTGATCTCCTTGTGGTCCAACGGACTCGCAGGAGTCTCCGCCAGCACCACAATTCAAAGGCCCCAATTCTTCGGCACTCAGCCTTCCTTATGGTCCAGCTTTCACTGCCACCCATTGCAACATTCAGCGGTACACTCCCTCTGAACATGGAGGCTCAGCATAGCCATGGTGGCTAACAGGCCTTCTGCTCTCTTCCTGCGAGTTTGCCCGTGTCCCCAAGACCTGCGGAGCCTTCGCACTCCCAGGAACACGCGCTTGCGGGCTTGCTTGACCTTTTTCCCTCTTTCTCTCCAGTTCAATCAAGGGGTTAAGTTCTCGGAGTCCGCGTCCTAGAGAAGCTGAAGCTCTTTGAGAAAGGAGGGATGTCGCCTTGTAACTCACTTCCTGCCCCGCCTACCGTGGGAAAGTCGGGTTTAAATTTCCCAGGCGCTGCATCAGGTCCTGGAGCGGTTCTTCTTTGCCTTTTGGTGAACGAGGAAGCGGCTGCAGTGCGCGGAGGTGGAGAACCAGCCTTGGCGAGGGGGCGCC